CTGCTTGGCTTCAGTGGGCAACCAGTCTTGGGCTACAGGGTGATATGGCGGCTTTTAAAAAGTATAATTACCCAACGATATAACTGCGAGAGACTGTATTGAAATATATATTTTCCCTGTGTTTCCTGCCTGCTGTGTGAAACAGCCAATCAGAGAAGAGCTCAACATTGAGCCGCACTGGGAAACAGCCAATCAGAGAAGAGCTCAACATTGAGCCGCACTGGGAAACAGCCAATCAGAGAAGAGCTCAACATTGAGCCGCACTGGGAAACAGCCAATCAGAGAAGAGCTCAACATTGAGCCGCACTGGGAAACAGCCAATCAGAGAAGAGCTCAACATTGAGCCGCACTGGGAAACAGCCAATCAGAGCAGAGCTCAACATTATTATTCATGACCCTTCCAAATAAGGTAAAAACAGACCATTTCATTCTAGGGACAAATCCTAGGGTTGTAAATGGAAATGTAAAACCGTTTCTGGAGATTTTTTGCCCTTACCTAAGCCACAAAACTTCTATGTAGATATCAGAGAACAATTTAAAATATTGTATCAATGCATTCTATGGCACCTTTAATTAATTTACAAAAACATTAATTTTTATTTATTTCTTTTAAGTATTAGTATTTTTTTTTTTAAATGTCAACTAATTTATTTTGAAAATAAATAAATTTTACTTAAACTTTATTTAAATGATCAAAAATAAATAAATAAATAAATACTTCACAATAACACTGGTAGGCCAGGGCTTAGTTTATCACTCTTGATTTATATTACAGTAATAATTATTTAGATTATGAATCAAGGTCTCTATATGACAGTTCGTTATAAATTCAAAGTCAAATAAGTCTTGATGACATTATCCGAAATGGAAAGACAAGAGGCAGAAAAAAACTAAGTTACATTTTGCAGAACAACTGAAGAAAAACTGCTGTTGATTTTAAAAATAACATTAAATTCCGTTCGCATTTTACTTGCATAATGTGACATTTTTGAGTGAAACAATATTCAGCAGGTAATAATCAAGGGTGGGACTTGACTTTCATCAGGATTTGATGGAAACATGAGTTCACTATTGGTTAATATTATTTTGGTTTTATTCAATTAAGGATACAAATAGTCAAACTTTAGAATTTGTATTGTTCTAAAATATAAAATATTGAGAGGTTTATACACAAACCTCACTGGAACCATCCTTGTTCTTCATTGGGTTGGGATTGAGGATGCCAATCACTGTCCCAGTGTCAGTCTTCCACAGATCTGTGTGAACAGAACCGAACAGGAAGAGAGACACAATCACTTCCAAATTATGAAGATCATTCAGCTTCCAGATGCTGAAGGTTTTCCCCTACGAAAAAAAATAAATGCGAGTAATTAAATATACAACATATAATCCATAAACAGGATATGAGAACTCACAAATGATGATCACTTACATTGTTTTTGCTCTGTGGGGTGATTTTATTTATCACCACTGCGAAAGTGACCCAGTCGCTGTCCTCTAAATTGTCCCTGGCCAGTCGATCGGGCAACTGAGAGAGCTTGATCAGTCTGCGGTTGGCCATTTTTTGCTCAATGTCTATGGAAGATAGGCGTGGTTTCCTACAGGGAAATATAACAGGTGTTTTTCAATAGTAAGAAAATCTCAAATACATATTTACACTACTGGTCAAAAGTCTGAAATAATTGTGATTATTTAAATGTTTTTTTAAGTAGTATCTTATGCTAACCAAGCCTGCATTTATTTGGTGAAAAACACAGTAAAAACAGTAATATTGTGCAATTTAATTACAATTTAAAATAATTGTTTTCTATTTTAATATTTTTAGCCAAAGCTGAATTTTCAGCATCATTACGCCAGCCTTCAGTGTCACGTGATCCTTTAGAAATCATTCTAATATGCAGATACGCTGCTCAATTATTATCCATCATTATTAGTGCTTAAATATTTAGTACAGTACTAGTAATTAACATTGAAAAATTATTTTTGTGGAAACTGTGATAGTTTTCAGAATACTTTGATAAACCGAGAGTTCAAAAGAACAGCTTTTATTTAAAATAGAAATGTTTTGTAACATTATAAATATCTTTACTGTCACTTTTGATAAATGTAATGCATCTTCAAGAAATAAAGTTGTCATTTCTATTTTATTCGTTCCCACAAAAGTATTAAGAAGCAAAAACGGTTTTCAATATTGGTAATAATGAAAAATATTTCTTCAGCACCAAATCAGCATATTACAATAATTGATGGTTTAATCTTCAAAATTATTTGTTTTCCATATAATAAAATCAATTAAAGCAATATTAATCATTTCAAAAAGCCCACTTTACAGTACACTGACCTGAGTCGGAGACCTGAGAACTTCTCCACGGCAACCTCTTGACTGACCGACGGACGAGGCATGGCCTGACTCACAGTGGGAGGAGTCTTGAGAGACAGCGGTGACTTCAACGTGCGGTTTACTTTTGCAGCGTCTCTTACTGGCTGAGATGAGCCGTTGATCACACTCTGGCCAGAAGAAGTCTGCCTTTCTGAGGTGGCTTGTTTACAAAAATTTAATTCATATGATTTTCATATATTTCAAACAGTTCCATTTTTGAAAGCAAAAAGGATCACTGCAACATTCACCTGCTTTGTGTTGGTGGGCCGTCCTCTGCTTGTTTTTCAGCTTTGCGGTGACATCTGATGGAGGAGAGCCGTCGCCGTTCAATGCTGTTGGTGGGGGTGTTTTCGAAACCCCCTGAGGTGTTGTTAAGGACTTAGTGCTTGTCTGTCTCTGGACGGAGGGTTTGTTTTCAGGCCGTGTGGTTTTCTGTGAGACCTCCAGCTGCTGCTGTAGTTTTTGCATCTTCTGATGCATTAATTTCAGCTCAGCTGGAAGACAAATATACTTATGATCAGCACACAATACGTGCATAACCTGCACATAAATAATCATGCCTAGAATAACTACAGAGCTCTACCCTCCAGATCTTCCTTATTCAAGTCACTGCCCCCTTCAGCTGAGCTGGAGTTCCCAGGTGCCACGTCGTGTTCCCCTTCCTCCTCCGGCTCAATATAGGGATCACCATCATCATCCTCATCGAAGAGGTCATCCAGATTATCACTGCCCTCTCCAGCAGCGGGGGTCACCTGTTCCTGGCTCTCACTCTCCGCAAATAAAGACAGCAACATGTCCAGATTCTCCTCCTCTGATATCAGACACATGAACGCAGATTCATTTAATCGAATTACATACAGTAATATTTACATAACATTATAATATATATATATATATATATATATATATATATATATATATATATATATATATATATATATC